CTGGTAAGCAAGTGTGAAAGGGGATCAGAACGGATCTAGGTTTACAGGGTGCCTGAGCTGAGCCTTGAAAGGAGTATCAACATTTTGGAGACACCCTGTTTTCCAGAGCTAAGTCTTGGCAAGCAGGCTGTGCCCTGAGTTTGGCATAACAATAATCCTTTGCACCCTGGAATGATCTCACCCTCTGGCAAAGTGTATTGTTTGGACCAGCACCAGGTGTTCACTAAGGAACTGAGCTCCCCTTATTTCCCAGGCCATCCATCACATGTTGACAATCCCTGTTCCTTGTCACTGACAGGTCTGGCACTCTTGTTCCCATCACAGAACTCTGGTTCTGTGCCCTGCAGAGTGGCCATGACCCCCAGGACTTGAGACAATGACTGTTCCCACAGGACCCAAGAATACCTGTGTTGTCCCAAGAAATGCTAACCATAGGAACTCTCTAGAGACCTAAGAAGGATTGTGCTGTGGGCCAGCCCCTTTCATGTACTAAGTGTCCCCAGACTCAGCAGCCTGAAGCCCTCCTTCTTGGGTGGGGGGGGCATCCTTTTCCTCACTCTGAAATTAATTAAACTTGTTTGTGTCCTGACTCTCCTGTTTCTAGATTGCTCTGTTTCAGTTCTGGCTACCCATAGGTTAGAGGCAGGCTCTGTCCAGTTGACCAGAGTTAAGGCTCAGGCAGTTGGAGGTAATTTGGGCCAGCCCGTGCAGAGCCCCACGGAAGCCTGTTGTCAGGAAAACTTCCTAACTTCGAGTTGCCGGGGAGTGGAATGGGCTGCCTGGGGAGGGGAACAGCTCCCTGCCCCTGGCCAGGTCCCAGCAGATGTTGCATGCCCAGTTGTTGGGAGTTTCTTATTCAGGGGCTCCCACCAGCTCTGAGGTCCTGGGGCCCAGGGGCCCCGGTTCCAGGCCTATTTCCACTGCCATTGTTTCTGGCTTGGTTGAAGTGGAGAACCATGACTTTGGTCTCCAAATTCTATTCCTTCACAAGATTCAGGATTCTCTTCCCTGAGTCATCCCCCCACTGGTTTGGATCCCAGTGCCTATATGCCTTAGGGGACCGTCGTCTAGAGTTGTGATTGGCTTTAAAAGACCCTTATCCTCCGGGGCCCACCCCTGGCTGGACCTGGAGCCTTCCTGCACTGAGCTAGGCTGGTCCTCCAATGGCAGACACTCTAGATGCCTGGAAGGCACATGGTAGATCACTTGGCTTGACCCTAGAGTCCAAGGGCAGTCCAGGAAGAGGATCTTTAGACCTTGAGAGCCTGGACCTCCAGAGAGATATTTCATCCCACCAGATGCCCCACCCAGGAGATGAACTTCATCTATGAGTCCCCCCACCCCCAACCTAACACAGTGCTTGGCACACAATAGGTGATTAATAAGTTTCAATGACTGACTTTAATGACATAGGTGCTCAATCAATATTTGTGGAATTGAGCTGAATCTAGGCCAAGGTCCACTCTCCCCACCCTTCCCATGAACATTTTATAAATGAGAAGAGTGAGACCTTACAGAATGAAAGGCACTTGTCCTCAATTGATAAAGAAGCATTTATTAAGTGCCTGCTGTGTGCATCACCAGCAAAGACACGGATGAAACTGTCTCTGCCTTCAGACAGCTTCCTTCTGCTGTTGGAAACCACGTAGGCACCTAAATGAGGACAAGGTTAAGGTTTTTTGGGAGGGACCAGCAGCTGGGGGAGCAGGCAGGCGAGGCCATAATATAGGAAGTGGTCCTTCAGCTGAGCTTTGAAGCAAGCTGGGGATGTTAAGAGCTGGAGGCGCAAAGCAAATGCATTCCTGGGGCAGCTAGGTGGCACAGTGGATAGAGCTCCAGCCTTGGAGTCAGGAGGACCTGAGTTCAAATAAGACCTCAGACACTTGACACTTACTAGCTGTGTGACCCTGGGCAAGTCACTTAACCCTGACTGCCAAAGCAAAAATAAATAAATGAAAACTAAAAGACAATGCATTCCTGACACGCAGCACACCCTTTTCAAAGGTACAGAGACAGGAATGGAGGGTACAGGTAGGTATAGCATGAGCACTGAGGAGTGAGAGCCACAGAGCATGGCCCTACTTCTCCTCCTGACTCTATAGGTACCCCTGATGGATTGGGGGAGGGGAGGTATCTTTTCTAGTGCTAAATAGTTCATAAGCCCCCACCAACGTGGTCCCCCCCAGATTATCACTTGATATTATTTCATCTGCCAGACTTAATTAACCTTGAGAAAGGAGAATGCACTAAAGTGGGACAGAAAAACCCAGGCCAATAAGCATTTATTTATTTAGCATCTACTAAATGGCAGGCACTGTGCTAAGCACTGGAGATACAGACAATTATTAAAGACAGCCCCTGCCCTCAAGGAGCTTACAATCTAATGGGAAGGAAGACAGAAAGCACACAGAAGGAGTCAGGAAATGGAGTGGGGAATACAAGATGGGGGTACCCACCACAGGGTCTTCTTGTTCTGTGGAGCTGAAAAAACAACCAGGCAGGGCAGAGATGAAGAGCTGCGAGAGGAAGAGCAGCTGGTTGAAAACATCCCTTCTCCCACATCTGTGAGCCACTCAACCTGCCAGCCTACCCAGAGCACAGAGGCCATGTGAGGCCAGGGGGTGAGTCCTTTCCCCTCCTTGGGTTCAGTGCAGCTTTCCGGGGTCTCTCTGTGGAGCCGGATCTGTGTCCAGTCTGGCTCTGGTGCCCGAAGCCACCAGCTGTTCCAGGGATGTGGCCAGAATGCTGAGGGGAAGAGGAGGAGTCCTCCAGGTCACTGAGTTCTAGCCATCCAGTTCCCCTGTCTCTGCTGACCCCCAGTCTCGCATCTTCAGCTGCCTACTGGACATTTGGAAAACGATGTCCTGTAGATATCCTGGGATATTTGCCCTCCCCTCTCTTGTATTCTCCAAGTCTCCCTCTCGTGGTTTATTTCCTACCACCTACACATGCCCACAGCTCTCCTATTCTGAATAAATGCCCCTTATCTTTCTTCTGTCCTTTGTGGCTAAACTCCTCAAAAAGGCCACCTACCATAGGAGCCCCCACTTTCTCTCTTCTTAGCCCCTCCCAGTCCAGCTTCTAACTTCATCATTTCACTGAGACTGCTCTCCGCAGAGCTCCTCATGATCTCCTAATCACCAGATGCAATCGTCTCTGCTCCATCCTCCATTTCCCTGACCCTGCCTCAAGCCTTTGTCGCTGCTGCTCCTTCCTCCTTTTTGACAATCTCTACTCTCTAGGCTTTCAGGACTCCCGGTCCTCCACCCCCCTCTCAGATCACTCATTCTCCATCTCCTTGGCTGGATCCTCCTCCAGGTCACAGCCTCTAACTGTGGACATCCCACAGGGTTCTGTCCTGGCCCTCTGCTCTTCTCCCTCTATACCCTTTGCTTGGCAATTTCATCAGCTCCCACAAATTTAATTACTGTCTCTATGCTGATGCTCCAGTCTCTCTGCTGACCCTCTGATCTCTCACTTCCAACCACCTTTCAGACATTTCAAACTGGATGTCCAGTAGACATTAAACTTCACAGGTCCAAATCAATCATTATTTCCCCCTCTAAGCCCTCCTTCCCTCCCACATACCCTATTACTACTTCCCCCAGCCCCCCAGGTTCACAACCTGAGTCATCCTTGACACTTCACCACCTCCCCCCCCAACCCCCCATATCCAATATGGTGCCAAGGCCTGTTGATTTTCCCTTTGCAACATCTCACCATAGGACACCTTCTCTCCTCTGACGCTGCCCCTACCCTGGGGCAGACCCTCACTGACTCAGGTGTGGACTACTCAGCAGCTGCTGCGGGTGGGGGCCCCAAGCCAGTTCATCCTCCATTTTCCGAAATCGTGGGTATGGCCATTTCACACACCCCCAACCCCCACCCAGGGGGTAAGCTCCAGGGGCTCCCTATGACCTTCAGGAGCAAAGCCCTTCCTAGGCTGGCCCCCTCCCACCCCTCAGTCTCCAGGCATCCCCTCTGACCACTGACCTCCTCCCAATAACACCCTCCTCGGGAGGCTTCCCAACCCCTCGGGTTCCAGGGCCTTCCCGCTGCTGATTTCCCCTTATTGTCTATTACCCCACTAGAGTGTGAGCTCCCTGAGGGCAGGGCCTGCCCTTTGCCTCTCTGGGCGTCTCCCGCGCTTCGCCAGGTTCCCGGCACAAAGTGCTCGCTCAGTGAACGTTTACCTATGGACTGATGGACCTCCTCATCTTTCCCCGCCTCTCGCTCCCGTTACTAAGGAGCATCCCTTGGTCCTGCCTCAGAAGTGCAGGAGTGGAAGGGAAGGCCCCCCGATCGCGCCCCCAGCATCCCCTCTGGACAGGGCCAGGCCAAGGGGCAGGATGCCAGTCCCAGCCTGAGGCCGGGCCAGGGACGATGCATGCCCGGGCTAGGCAGGGATCCGAGCTCCCGCCCCTCTGCTGCACTGCTCTGACCTTGCCACCATGGAGGATCAGAGGAGCAGCCGCCGGGGAGACCTTCTCAAGAGGGCGACAGCAGCAGAGACTGCGGCTGTGCACGGAGGAGGGGCCGGGGAGAGGTGCGCCTCCGAGCGGCTACGGCCAGGGCCCAGTGCGCTTGCGCCGAACCGCTCGAGTGCGCCTGCGCCGAGCGGCCCTGCGCGCAGTGAGCCTGTGGCGAGGGACAGAGAAGGAGCCGCCGAGGCCGAGTGTGGGCCGGAGCCGGAGACGAGGCGGAGCGGGAGCCGGAGCCCGGGCCGGAGCCGGAGGCGATTCGAGAGAGGCGGCGGAGCAAGCCCCGGGCGGAGCGCAGCGCGAGAAAGGGAGAAGAAGAGCGGCTGCGAGGGTGACCCGGGCGAGGCCGGCGGCCTGCCAGCCTGTCGGTCCGCCCCGGCCCCGGCCCCGGGCCCTCGGTCCCCGCCGCCGCCGCCGCCGCCGCCGCCCGGGCCTCGGGCTCCCCGGACCCGCGTCGGCCCGGCCCCAGCGGACAAGCCAAGGAGCGAGTGAGCGCCGGCCGCCCGCGGGCCCGCCTCGGCCCGGCCTGGCTCGGCCCGGCCCGGCCGGAGGATGACGGAGCTGCAGTCAGCGCTGCTCCTGCGGAGGCAGCTGGCAGGTGAGCTGGACCCGGGCTCCGATCCCTCCCCGGGGGGGGGCCCTTTGTGTGCCCGCAGCCCCCCGGGCGGCCCCCTTTGTCCGGCCCCGCCCCGCCCGGGCCCCTTTGTCCGCGCCGCCCCAGCCGCCCCCCTCCTGGGGCCACCCCGGGGGCCGGGGCTCCAGCGGGGAGCCCGGCGGCAACGGGGTACGGGAAAGGCGGCGGGGGGCGGGGGGCGGGCGGCCGGGCGTGCGCAGTGGGCGCCCGGCGCGGCCCTCGGCGCAGGCGCAGGCGCGCTGGGCCCGGGAGGCGCCTGGCCGCTTCACAATGCAGCCCCACGTGTGGCTGGATTTAAAGAGAAAGGGCCCGGGGGCATCCCCCTCTCCCCCGGGACTGGATCCCGGGCCTTGTCCCCGCGGGTCCAGCCGCGTGGCGGAGCCCAGCCCCTGGTGGGTGGGGGCCTTTGGGACCCCGGCTCTTGGGCTCCTCGGTGCCTCTTGGCTGGGCGGCGCCGCCCCGAGCTCCGGTCCTCGGGAAGCCAGGGGGTGATGACCCCCAGGGACAGAGAGGCCCCCGCCCCGGCCCCTATTTCTCTTTAGACACCCAGACTTGGATGGAGGGGAAGATTCACCGGGTGGTGGGAACCAGTGAAGACGATGCCAGCCAGCAGGTCGATAGAACATGGCTACTTTTCCTGAAGGGGATTCAGACCGGTTAAACAAACCTTTACCAAATGCCACGTTCTGTGCCAGGTAGAGGGGAAACAGAAAAGGAAAGGGTCTTCCCTCCAGGAAACCTCCTCTGCTGGGGGGCTGCCACCGGTACCCAGAGAGCCAAATTACCGAGGAGTATGCTGGTGGGTCAGGATCAGCTTCCTGAGTGGGAGCTTTGAAGGAAGCTGGGGAATGGTGAAGAGGAAGGGAGGGAGGCATTCCTGGCATCGGGCACAGCCTATGCAAAGATTCGGACACAAGAGATGGCATGTTCTGTTAGACTGTGGCCAGCAAACAGGCCAGTCTGGCCAAGCAGCACTCTGTAAAGATGAGCCTGCAGTGACCTGGGTGGAGGCTGGCTGCCAAATTGTAAAGGGCTTTAAAAACCAAATAGAGAGGATTTTGTTTGCTGAGTGGGGGCAGTGACCAGGGCAGGCCCATGGGTGGAGGCAGGAATATCTACTCTCAGACTAGGCCCAGGTAGGGGTGCTTGGCATGGTTTATAGGGCTTTGTCAATGTCCCTCCTTGTGGGGGCAGGGCGGGAACAGAAACAGAAAATGAGGGGGCCCAGTCCCTTTCTCCGAATCCCCTCAAACTTAGTGATTTTATTTTACTTTATTTTGCCTTTTTTTTTTTTTTGGTGAGGCAATTGGGGTTAAGTGACTTGCGCAGGGTCACAGAGCTAGTAAGTATCATGTGTCTGAGACTGGATTTGAACTCATGGCCTCCTAACTTCAAGGCCAGAGCTCTATCCACTGCGCCACCTAGCTACCCCAAACTTAGTGATTTTAGTAAAGATTGTTTGATAAACTTGATAATGGTTGACTGGAATGATGAGCCTGCCATACATTAACAGTAGGAAAAACATATATATATAGATAGATAGATAGATAGAACGTAATTTCTTTCTTAGACTATGCTCCCTTGAGGGGTACCAAGTGCCAAGGCATGTCAGCATCTGTTAGTAACATGACATCTCATGGTGTAAGTACAGGGCTAGTAATGTGTCTGTACCCTGTAAGAAATCGAGCAGCCAGGGGCCGCTGTAGTGCGCAGAGTGCTGGGCCTGGAGTCCAGGATGGCTTGTCAGCCTGAGTTCAAATCTGGCCTCAGACACTAGCTGTGTGACTTCACTGTTTGCCTCAGTTTCCTCATCTGTAAAATGAGGATCCTAGAGAAGGAAATGGCCCACCACCCCAGTATCTTTGCCAAGAAAATCCCCCAAATGGGGTCACAGAGAGTGAGACTTCACTGAAACCACTGAACAAACTGAGAAACAGCTGGCTAACTTTCCAAGGTTAACGGGATCATTGGGGTTGTATCTGGGCAGAGCACAAGTGGAAAAGAAAGAAGAGCTAATTACACTGTATTGCTTCTGTGAAGGACAATTCCTTTTTTTTATTAACCCAACTCCACCAACAGTGTCCTTTCTGTCGGGAGCTCACCTTAAAAATTCTGAACCCCGTCAAGTCTTCACAGCACGCAGACAATAATAACCTGCTGGATTTGTTTATCCACTGCCCCCTGAGTTTAGTTTTTGATATCTCTTTTATGCACAAAACTAGCTTCCAAAAGAAAAATATAAGTAAGTTCCCTGACTTAGCCATTCGAGGGCTAGTGGCTTTGACCCACTCATTAGCCTTTGGGAAGCTTTTGTGAAACTTTAAAAATAGGAAATAAATATCTATTGCCAACTTAGAGGCTGTCAGCAGCAGCCGGGGAGACCATCTGCAGTCACCCCGTAGCCCAGACTTGGGCATGTCCCCCCGGTGCCACTTTGAGGTAGAGACAGACTGATAGGAACGTTACCTTTCCAGAGAATAAGCCAATTTAACACACACTGGTAGTAGTGCAGAAAAGGACTTAGAACACTGTCCGAGTGTTTTTGTCTCTTTGAGATGAGCCTCTGTCACCAGCACGGATACGTAGTGCGCATTCTGTGTTCCGCAGCATCATAGACACTTAACACCCCCCTGGTACCGTGGTTCTTCTGGGCCTAACCCGGCTGCTTAGAAAGGCCGGAGGGGTGTCCTTTGGCATGGAACGAGCTTGGAGATGATGTTAAGGGTTTGAACTGTGGAAGAGGGATCCAGCTTGGCCCTAGAGAAGAGATGAAAACAGGGAGGTGGAGGGAAAACGCAAAGGCTCCATGGTGTTGCCGTCGCCCTGGCCAAACCCTTTCTTTTCCAGTCTGCCTTTAGAAATGAAGGCCAGAACCCATTATCTTAACCTGTAGAGGGCCCGAGGCATCTTGGCAAAGTCCAAATGGATCTGGTGCTTACCTGTTGCAAGCCTGTAAATGTTTTTAAAGTTTCTCCGACCTTAGAATATGGAGGTTTTGTTTTCTGACATAGAGGGTTGTGTTTCTTAACTGTAGATAGTAATGAAAACCCTGTCTCAGCACTTTTCTGGGGTACAGTTGTTTAATGTTGGGCGGATGCAAAGATTCAGAGGAAGAGCTCATTTGACTGTGTTAGACCTCAGAGCAGGAGGGAATTGGCGAGAAGCCAGCTGGCCTCCAGTTCGGCAGCACTGCCTGCCCCGGGTTCAGGGGCTGGTTTTAAAAATTGCTCAATTTGTTCTGGTGAGATAGGAGAAGCAGAGAGCACATTAGACAGATTCAGAGAAACCTGGGAAGACTTGGGTGAACGGATGGGCAGAGCAAAGTACCCAGAACCTGGAGGACAAGTTCTCCAAGGACATGGGCTTTTCATAAAGGAAAGGAGATGGCAAAAGACTTTCAGACTCAGGTTGAGTCGCGGTTCTCGAGAGGTGGTGACCCCGGGGGCAGAATGAAACGTGAGTTTTCAGACAGAGCCAGCGGTGGATTTGTTTGGCTTGGCTCCCCTTGTTCTAAGGGGGGCAGTGTGGGTGGAAAGAGTAGGAGGGTAGCAGGGAGAGATAGTGATGTGAAACGAGGAGAAGAGAAAGAACAGCAGGGAAACACTGAAAAAGCAAGGAGCGGGAGGGAACACCCAGTGTTCGATGGAAGGGATGCTTTACAAAACCAGGATGCCTGTCACAGGCTCCTTGTTCGCTGTGAGATCCTCATTTGGGGCTTTTTAGAGTGAAGTATTGCAGTGTGTCAATGTTTAAGTTATAGTAAACGTTATTTTTAAAGTAAGTGAATTTGGGCTGTTGAAAGAACACTGGCTGAGGAATCTGAGGGAGGCCTGGGTTCAGACCCTGCCCAGTGAGCCCGTGGGAGGTTTCCTTTCCCCTTGGGTGGCCCAGGGTTCCTCACCTCAGGCAGCACACTCCTCTGCCACTGGCTGAGCAGGATTTTGATGCGCAGAGGCCTTCCTGACCGGCCTCTACTAAGAATCAGAGAGTGGCCCCAGGACGTGTCTCATGAGCAGATGGGGTGGATGGGAGGTGCCCACCAAGAAGATCCCTTGAAACTCAAGTGGGAAGGCGAGCTTTTTTCTCACCCTTGAAATGTGATGCTGTTCTTTTTGGGCTTCTCAGGACTATGGTCTTTGCTCAGGTGGACAGGGGAATAGAAAAAGGGAAGCCCTTGTGCGAAAGGAGCTTTGTTTGAGAGACTTACTTCCAATACTGAGGCGTTTCTGTCCTCCTGGGTAGACTCTTCCTTTTCCCCAAGAGCCCTTGCAGGCGAGGGCACAGGCCGCCAGACCTCCTCACCTCCCCTTTTTCCTCTCTGCTCAGTCTCCATGTCGCTTCTCCTCTCTGCCGCCAGGCAGGGTCCCTGCCTGCCACCTGTCAGTGATGCCCCCACGCCTCCTTTTCACAGAGGGCCGCCTTGGGCTCTCCCTGAATCTTGATATCAATCCTGGCCCTACCTTATTGTCCCTAGGTCACGGTAGCAGCCTTCCTCCACTTGCTGTCCCCCATTCTGCTACTTCCATAGCACTTGGAAGACTGCAGGAAATGCTGGCCAGCTGTTCTTACAGGACTCCCTCTCCCGCTGGGGGGGAGGTGCTGAGACCGGACTGCAGGCACCCATGTGAGGTCACAGACCTGGCTGCCCTTCACTGGCTGGGCTTCCTGGGTGTTCCTTTTCCATCCCACCACCACGAAGCAGTGCTTCACACCCCAGCTCTGCTCTCATCAGAAAATGAGAGGGGACTCGGCTAGAGGCGTCAGATGCGGGGAGGCCTGTACCAAGATCTCTAACCAATGAGAGGACGGTAAAACGTAAGCCAGGTTGCTGTGTCTGCTGCTCCCAGCTCTTCTTTCATTATTGGTACGTTTCCTTTTCTCCTCTCGAGGCCACAGGCTTCTCTCTGCTTGGCTTGCTTTGGTGTCCCAGTGGTACGCACAGTAGGTTCTCAGTAAATACCTGT